CCTCCTTCTCCAGAAAAAGTCGCCATTTTGGTTCCCTGCCTTCGCCCCCCCTCCCCGGGAGTCCGCGATCGGCCCTTCCGGAGCCAGACCGGGCCCCGCGCCCCACGCCCCGCGCCCGCGCAGGGCCGCAGGTGACAGGTGGGTGGGTGACGAGGCCCGGCCGTCACGTGCGCGCCCCTGACAGGCCCCATCCGCGCGTCTGGGCCTGGGCCGGGGTCCGGTTGGCGCCTCTGCCGGCGGCACTGAGAGCCGCGTGACCCGGGCTTCCCCCGGGAGTCCCACAGGCCCGCCGCCGCCGCAGGGCGGGAGGGAGGGTGGCTGCCCCTCGGCGTCTTGTTCCGGTGCGGGAGTCACGGGCCTGGGCGGAAGGAGGAGGGGTGTGCGCCTCCCAGGCCAATCCGCACCCGAGCTTCCTGGACTCCACGCAGAGTCAGGTGGGGGCAGAATGGAGAAGCTGGACCGGCAGGTCATTGCTGGCTGAGCCTCCCTGCCCGCAGGGTCTAGGTAGAAAGTTGCTGTGTGAGAGGACTCCCAGAGAAGTTTGTTTGGGTGTCCTCCAGCCCTCCCGCCGTCCAGGCCCAGGATCTAGGCGTCCCCGTTGGAGTCGGCTGGAACTGCCCAGACCTGCCCTATGGCTTCACCCTGCCCAGAACATCTTTCCTGTGGCCTCAGGTCTCCCTGTGGGAGGACCTGACAGGGCTGGGCTCAGAGTGCCATGTTCATCCCAGTGGGGTCCCCCAGTCTGAGTGGAACAGATGCAGGGAGGCTCAGCCCCAGGTAGCAGGATCCTTCTGGTACAAAGCCCAAGGGCTCAGCTGCCTGTGCTCGCTGACTGGTGGGGCTGAAGCTATGCTGGTGGACCTGAGGCAGAGGACGAGGGCTCCTTGGGTGGATTCAAGGGGCCAGCACCAGCGCCAGCCTCCACCTGGGTGGAGGTGCCGGCTGGAAAGTGAGCAAGGGGCCTGCAGGGCCTTGGTCTGCCTTCCAGGAGGGATTGGGGGCCCTCGGTGCCCAGCTTGGCAGTCTTCCAACTGTGTCCTGGGCAGAAGGATCCGATCCAGGGTGCCCACCGGGTAGGTCGTACTGCCTGGGTCTGGATGGGAGGTTTCAGCCATGGGCTGAAAGGTGGTGCCCCAGGTGAGCCAGTAGCCCATCACTGGCATGTTCATTGATTCCCTGAAAGGTGTAGTTGGCCTCCTTGCTCCTGAGCGTAGGGTGCATGCTTCCCAGCACATGTGTGGGGACAGAGGGAGCCTGCAGCTGGCATGCGACGAAAGGGTGCCAGGCTTGGACCTTCAGGCTGATGGTTTCTCTTGGACTGCCCAGAGAATCAGTGGAGCAGCCCCTGCCAAGAACCAGACCCCCTGGCACCCTTCCTCCTCACCCTCCGAGAGGGCAGCCCTATGCAAGAACAGGGGCAGAGGCAGGACAGTACTGAATGGCCCACGAGAGGCGATAGGGTGCAATTGGTCTGGGGCCCCTGGGCCTCACAGGTCTGTCCCCTTGCTTGGCAGCCATGACTGACCCTTTCTGTGTGGGCGGAGGCCGCCGGCTCCCAGGGTCCAGCAAGAGTGGACCTGGGAAGGATGCAGGTCGGAACGAGGTCCAACTTCCAGTGTTGCATGACCCACCCAAGCTTGGTAAGAGGTGGCACAGGCTGGGTTGGGGGGTTTTTTTGGAGGGGATGTCTTGGAGCAGTAGGGGCCTGGGTGTGGATGGAGGTCTCCCCAGCACCTGAGCCTGGTGCACTGTGTACCACAGGGGTGCCGGTGGTCAGAGGTGGCCAGATGCCCAGCCAGGCCCTGCTCTGCTTCGACCCAGGAAGTCCAGCCAGCGACAGAATGGAAGGGAAGAAGAAGGGACGGCCGAAAGCTGAGAACCAGGCACTCCGAGACATTCCCGTGAGCTCCTGAGGGTCAGGGTGGGGCTCATGAAGTTCTGTTGCCCAGGACACTGCCTTCCCCTTGGCTGTGCCAGCAGGCAGCCCAGTGCTCTCAGGCTCAGGTATTGGCCAGATGGGACTCCACGTATGGCCTCGAGCCCCTGCCTTTGACACGAATGCCAGAGGGCCCAGTGGACTGGGTGTGGCCCCTTAGGTCAAGTCCTACACAGGGGTGCTGCTCGGGTGGGTGGCTAATTATCATTGTCTCAAGGTTTGGGGCTTGGGGAAGGCGTTGTAGTGTCTGGGGCTTGGGTTGGACAAAGCTTCACTGAGAGGGTCAGCAGCTTGGCCTTGCCCACCCCCAGCTCTCCCTGATGAACCAGTGGAAAGATGAATTCAAGGCCCACTCGAGGGTGAAGTGTCCAAACCCAGGGTGCTGGCTGGAGTTCCCCAGTATCTATGGCCTCAAGTACCACTATCAGCGGTGCCGAGGGGTAAGGGATGTCTGGTCGGGGACGAGGAGGCCCGGGCCCGCCTACCTGCACCGTCGGCGTTCTCTCCTGCACACTGGGGGGTGTCTGGGCAGCACCCCTGGGTGGGCCCCACCCACACCTGCCCTTCCCGCTCAGGGTGCCATCTCAGAAAGGCTGACTTTCCCCTGCCCCTTCTGCGAGGCTGCATTCACCTCCAAGACTCAGCTGGAGAAGCATCGGATTTGGAACCACATGGACCACCCCCTGCCTGCCCCCAAGCCCGGGCCTGTCAGTCGACCAGTCACCATCAGCCGGCCCGTCGGTGTCAGCAAACCCATAGGAGTGAGCAAGCCTGTCACCATCAGCCGGCCTGTGGGTGTCAGCAGGCCCATGCCGGTCACCAAGCCTGTCACAGTGAGCAGGCCTGTGCCAGTCACCAAGTCCATACCGGTCACCAAGTCCATACCGGTCACCAAGCCCACACCAGTCACCAAGCCTGTCACACTCAGCAGGCCTGTGCCAGCCACCAAGCCTGTCACACTCAGCAGGCCCATGCCAGTCAGCAGGCCCATGCCTGTCACCAAGCCCACACCAGTCACCAAGTCCATGCCGGTCAGCAAACCCATGCCGGTCAGCAAACCCATGCCAGTCAGCAAGCCAGTGACAATCAACAAGCCGGTGCCAGTGGCCAAACCAGTACCGATGACAAAGCTCGTGACAGTTACGAAGCCTGTGCCAGTCAGCAGGCCAGTTGCCATCGGCAGACCAACACCACCCTGCAAAATGGTGCCGTTGACCAAGTCTGAGAGCAAAACTCCTCGTGCTATGGGGAGGAACAGTGGTAAGAAAAGGTATGGGGCCCGTTTGGGGCTGGGGGGCTTCTGGGCTGCAGCCTAGTACCCCGAAGACGGCTGCCTGCCCCTCACCCACCCACTTCCTGCAGGGCTGCCGACAGCCTGGAAGCCTGTCCTGTGCCGCCCAAGCAGGTGAGGCCAGAGAATGGGGAGTGCGGACCGTCCACCACAGGCCAGAGTTTGGGGTTCCAGCTGAGTGCAGAGCCCCCTAGCAGCCCCCTCTCCCTGGGAAGCAGGGCCTCAGGAGGCAAGGAGACTCCTCGGGCCACAGGCCCCACATTCCTGCCAGAGGAGGATCCAGAGCGAATGAAACACAGTAAGATGAGAGCCGGGTGGACTGAGGCCGCTGGGTGGGCTGAGGCCGCCAGGTGGCCGTTTGACCAGGATCTCGCCCATTGTCTCTCCCCGAGTCAGGAAGGAAACAGAGAACCCCCAAGAAATTCACAGGAGAGCAGCCGTCCATCTCTGGGACTTTTGGACTCAAAGGTGAGGCCCTGGGTGGGCACTGCCGTGGCTGGGCACGTGCACGTGTGTGCTAGGGCTCTCTGCCCACACCTGCCCAGCCTGTGTGTGTTCATGGGTGCTGGGGCTCTCTGTCTGCATCTGTCCCACCTCTCCTGTGTGTGCCTATGTGCTGGGTCCCTCCACCCATCTACTCTGTGTGTGCATGCATGTGTCAGTGTCTTTTGCTCGCATCTAGCCTGCCCTGCCTGTGTGTACCAGGGTTCTGCCCCTACCTACCCCACCCTGCACACGTGTGCACGCAGGCCTGGCCAAGGCAGAGGACAAAGCCCGCATCCATCGTGCCAAGAAACAGGAGGTGACAGGCTCCGAGGGCATTCAGAAGAAAGTACTAGCCACTGCCAACAAGGAGGTGCCAGCCCCCATGGCCCACCCAGCCTCAGGTGGGGGCTGCTGAGTGGCAGAAGCATGTCTCTACTGTGAGGGTGGGGGGCTGAGGTGCAGTGTCAGGGCCGAGTGTGGACCCTGGGTTCTGCACTTGGCGTCCAGGGGATCCAGGAGCCCAGCAAGGCCCTGAGGCCCTGGCCTCACCCCACAGGTGGCCCCGAGGAGCAGTGGCAGCGGGCCATCCATGAGCGGGGTGAGGCCGTTTGTCCCACCTGCAGCGTGGTTACCCGCAAGACCCTGGTGGGGCTCAAGAAGCACATGGAGGTGTGCCAGAAGGTAAGTCGGGACCCCCAGGGTGCTGTGGGGGCGGCCAGGGCCTGGCTGGATCCCCCAGGGTGCTGGGGGGGCAGGGCCTGGCTGGATCCCCCAAGGTGCTGGGGGGGTCGGCCAGGGCCTGGCTGGATTCCCCAGGGTGCCGGGAGAGAGCCCAGGACCTGGCCGGATCCCCCAGGGTGCTGGGGGGGCCCAGGGCCTGGCTGGATCCCCCAAGGTGCTGGGGAGGGGGGCCCAGGGCCTGGCTGGATCCCCCAGGGTGCCAGGAGGGGGCCAGGGCCCAGCCATGACGCACAGCTCTGTTTATAGTTGCAGGATGCGCTCAAGTGCCAGCACTGCCGGAAGCAATTCAAGTCCAAGGCGGGCCTCAACTACCACACCATGGCCGAGCACAGCGCCAAGGTGTGCCCTTCTGTCTCCAGAGCCAGCCTGCTCCAGTACCAGCCCAGTTCCCACTCCGTCAACTCAGCACTCCCCCCACTGTAGCCCTCCACCAGCTCAGCTCCATCTCCCCCCAATCAGAGCCCCCTCCCCCTGCTCAGCTTCTGCTCCAACCCAACCCCCCTTCTGTAACTGAACCTTCTCTTGCTGTGCACTTGGTGGGGTGCCGTGCAATGCCCCCATGCCTGACCTTGGACGTCTAGGGTCCCCAGGCCCTGTGGATGGGGCCGGGGTTGCTGATGCTGTCCTGTCCCCTCAGCCCTCTGACGGCGAGGCCTCGGAGGGGAGTGAGCAGGAGGAGCGGGAGCGGCTGCGCAAGGTGCTCAAGCAGATGGGGAAACTGCGCTGCCCTCAGGAGGTCAGTGGGGGCGGAGCCGCGGGGCAGGGGCGGAGCCGCGGGCAGGGGCTGCGCTGTCCCCAGGAGGTGGGTGGGCCTGGGGACACGGGGTAGGGGGTTGGGCACAGGCTTGCTGGCCACCAGCCGTGCCCCTGACACCTGGATTGTGACTCCTAGGGCTGCGGGGCTGCCTTCTCCAGCCTCATGGGCTACCAGTACCACCAGCGGCGCTGTGGGAAGCCGCCCTGCGAGCTGGACAGCCCCTCCTTTCCCTGTGCTCACTGTGGCAAGACGTACCGCTCCAAGGCTGGTCACGACTACCACATGCGCTCAGAGCACGCAGTCCCGGTGAGCGCCCTGCCCTGTGTGCCCATCTCTTCATGTCCTTCTTTCATGGGCGTACCACATCTCTGGTCGCTCCAGCTCTCATCCTCACACGTCCTGTCCCCCAGCCCCCCAAGGAGCCTGCAGACAAGCCTTCTGAGGCCGAGGACTTACTGGGCGTGGAGCGAACACCGAGTGGTCGTATCCGGCGGACGTCGGCCCAGGTCGCTGTATTCCACCTGCAGGAGATCGCAGAGGACGAACTGGCCCGAGATTGGACCAAACGGCGCATGAAGGATGATCTCGTGCCTGAGACCGCACGGGTGACCACTCACTTGAGCCCCTCTGGTCCCTTTCCTGAGCTCCCAGCCTCCTGCTCTCTGGGTGGGATGTGTCCCAGCCAAGGGCCCCCTGGTGCCCTACCATCAAGCCACCTGGTGGCCATGGGACCAAAGTTCCTTCGCTTACTCGGAGTCTGTCCTCACAGCTCAACTACACACGGCCAGGCCTTCCCACACTTGACCCCCAGCTGCTGGAAGCGTGGAAGAACCAGGTCAAAGAGAAAGGCCATGTCAATTGCCCCAACGAGGTGAGCCGGGCAGGTTGGCTGCAGGGAGCCGGCCTCAGGGACAGCACGCAGGAGTGGTCCTCTGAGAAGAGCGGGTGAAGCAGAGCCTGTGGCAACAGAGCCTCTGTCAGGAGAGGGCCACCCTCAGTGTGACCAACCCACCTGTGACCCCTGGGCCCCCCAGCACTCTCAGGCAGAGATCTCTGTCACAGGGGACTTGCCCAAGCCCCTCTATTTAAACTGCAGAGGCCCCATGCCCCCAGGTGGGCAGGCCCATTGGGGGACTTCCGCCCACTATGCTTCTTGTTCCCTAGTGCTGTGAGGCCATCTACTCCAGCGTGTCCGGCCTCAAGGCCCACCTCGCCAGCTGCAGCAAGGTGGGTCCTGCCCCATCACTGGGTATGTGCGTAGCCTCAAGCATCTGGGAGGCTGAGCATGGAGCCCCCTACCTGCTACTTCAGGGGTCACCCCTCCGTGAGCCCAGGGTTCCACTTACTCGGTTCTGTAGCCCTTAGTTCCTGCCAAGCTGTGTCTGGAGTCACCCTGGCCTGGCCTGCTTGCACTCAGAGCTGCTGTCTCAGGGGCTCAGGTGGCTGTGCCAACACAGGCAGCAGGAATGGGGATGGCCCAGCAGGCAGAGGGGCCTACCTAGGCACCTGCTTCTACCTACTCTCATCTCCGCTCACCCCCTACAGCAGGGGCCACTGAGTGGTCCTGGCACGGGGTGACTCGGGTCCCTGCTGCCCACCTGCTGGCCCTGTCCTGCTCTTCCAGCCCTGCCCCGGTTAGCCACAGGATGAGGGCTTGGGTCTCAGCATCCAGTTTGACTGGGGGCTGGGCTGCCCATGCATTGCAGGGGGATCACCTGGTGGGGAAGTACTGCTGCCTGCTATGTCCAAAGGAGTTCAGCTCCGAGAGCGGTGTCAAGTACCACATCCTGAAAACCCATGCGGAGGTGAGAAGCAGCCTTGGAGGCCAAGGGTGGGCCGGGGCCGGGGCTGGGGCTGGGAGCAGTGGCCTATGAGGTAGTGCGCAGCAGTCTTGGGACAAGGCTGACATTTGTGCATCGAGAGGAAATCTGGAGTCTTTACCCCACAGTGACTATCTGACACCCCTTGAGCTGAGAGGCACAGGTGCTCCCAGCCCCCTCAATGGAAGCTACCTAAGGGTATACCTGGTCCCTGTAGCTGCCTACAGTGTGTGGGCTGGGGTCAGGTCTCAGGCCATGCCTGGCCCAGGGGCTCAACACCTCCATCCTAAGGCCTCCACTGGCTGCTTTTTCCTCCTAGAACTGGTTCCGGACCTCGGCAGACCCCCAGCCCAAACACAGGAGCCAGGACTCTCTGGCACCTCCGAAGGAGAAGAAGAGAAGTGGGGGGGGTGGGAAGAAGCGAGGTCGCAAGCCCAGGGAGCGGCCCCCCGAGGAGCCTGCGGCCAAGCTTCCTCGACGTGAAGACTGGCCCTCAGGAGGCAGAGACAAAGGGGGCCGGGGCCCCACGGGCCGGAAAGTGGGGGCTGGCAAGGCGCCTGAGAAATGAGCTCCGTTGTGGCAGGTGGGTGGGGTGTGGACTTGTTGCCAGCCACCAGGTCTCCCGCTCCAGGGAGGGGGTAGCAAGCTCCAACCTCTCCCTGTCCTGGGCTGTCCCCTCCATCTGTCCAGTGGGTGGGGGTGGCCAGCCTCATTTCCCTCCCGACATGGCCCTTCCACCACTGGGCTGAGCCTGGGGGTGCTGCAGCAGTGCAATAGTCTGGAGGCACAGCCCTACCTCCAAGAACACCTCTTGCCTAGCAGGGTCCAGGGCCCTGGAGGTGGGCAGGAGGAGGGGCTGTGCCCTGTGCCTCAGCACCACGAATGAGACTTGGAGCAGGTGGGGGACAGCAGCCTTGGTGCCCCCGCCCCCCAAGCTTCACACCTGATTTTGTGGTCCCTGCTGCACCCCCCCCCCAGCTCCCTCTGTGATGCAAGGGCTCCCACCTAAGGCTTGGGGTCCCTGATGGCCCCCAGGTCTGGGCTGGTGAGAGACCACTTGTGCAGCCCCAGCCTCACCTCCACCTGCCACTGGAATGCCAGCACCCCAGCTACCTCCCAGGACAGGCCCGGGTCACCCACCCACCCCTCAGGCTGCCCCTGCTCTGCACCTCTGGCCTCTCCTCTGCTCTCTCTACCTCTCCGGCCTGTCTCTGCCCTCCCTATCCTATACCCTAAGCTCTGCTTCACTCCATTGGCCCGGCCTGGTTCCCTCATGGTGAAGGATGGCCACTCGAGTGAGGGCTCTCCCAGCCATCTCAAAGGTGCTCTCTGCTTAGGGTAAGGAGAAGCTCTGCTCTCCCACCCGCCAGGCAGTAGGAGCAGTGGTTCCTGGCCTAGGGCCCCATTGTGGTGGGGGTGAGCCTCCCTGCAGAACGTGTTCTGCTCTGACCTTCGGCCTTGCTGGCACCGCTGGCTGGAACAGGAGAGGCCTAATGGGGCAGCGCCAGCCTGGTCGGGTCTACCTGGGTCTGGGAAGAGGTGGGGCCCATAGACAAGTGGAACTGGGAGGTGGGCAGAGTCAGCCCAGCCCCTGAGGAGCCCCCCCACCCCCGTGGGGAGGAGGCCCCCCTGTAGGAAGGTGGCCACATCCCTGGGGGAGCCCTCACACACAAACACACGCACACACCACACCCTGTTTTATGCCTGTCTCTCTGCTTCTGGTTGTGTGGCCACCTGATACAAGACTGAAGGCCAGCAAGGGCAGGGGGCTTGGCCGAGGTCACAGCAAGTTGGTAGCTGAGCCAGGCCTCCATCTTCGCTCCCTTTTGGGGCTCTGATGAGGAGCTGGTCTGAAGGCTGATCAGGTCTGGTAGGGAGGCCAGACCACCCGGAGGACGTGGCCATGCACCCTCTGCCCTTCCTCCCTGGTCCCCTCCCCACAGGGCTGTCGCAGGGAGAAGGAGGTCCTGCAGAGTGGGTTTGAATGGAGACCCTTCTCCACCAGGGTGGACCCTGGATGATGTGAATTTTGATAGGTGCCCGTTTGTGTTTCCTGAGTGTAGTGAATGCCAGTCTTGTTGCTGTGACAAGTAACAACCTTTTTTTATTCTGTTTTTTATATGAAAACAATCTGACATTTTGGTGCTAAGGGTTTCCTGGTGCCAATGGCGAGTCTAGGGACCGCGCTGGCCAGGGCGTGGCCCTGTGGGGCTGGGTCCCTCTGTTCCGTGGACCTCTGCTCGGGGTGGCGATGCCAACTCAGCTCCTGTACTCATCGGACCTCCTGCCCCCCCGGGGCAAATGGGCCGGAAGCTGGGCAGAGGGGGACAGGTTCCAGGGCAGCTCTTGGGGCTGGGGTCTTTCTCTGGTTCTTTGTTTAACGTAAAGGTGTTCTCAGCTCTAGCTGAAATATTTGGTGGGGGCAAGGAGACTCAGTCCTCCTCCCCACGCACTTTGATCTGATGGATGTGAGCCTGTACAGAGGGCACCCAGGTGGGGCACGCACTGTGAACAGGGGCCCTGGGAGCTGCAGGACTTTCTTTCCTGTGTTCTCGGTGTCAGTTCCAGCATGCAGTGGGGTGAAGGTCTGGCAGGCACCATGAGGGAGGGAGCCCAGGTCGGACTGGTGCAAACAGGCTCTGGGCAGGAGCCTCCGGGTGCATTATGTTCTGCCCTGTTACCTATGGCACGAGGAGGGTCCAACCTCAACACCTCTGCTGAGGGTGGGCAGACCGCCCCGGCCTCTCAGGTACTTGGCCCTTGGGGAGGAGAGAGAGGGCCCTGGTTTTGGCTGGGGTTGAGTTTCTAGGACACTTCCCAAGGTAGTCCCTGGTGTAGGGACCCCTTCTGGACATGCTGGGAAGAGGGGGGTCCTGGGTAACTTGATGTTTAGCACTTTAACCCCCGTCTTTGTCTTTAAAGTGGGTGTAGGGGCTGCTGCTGAATGTGGCTGTTGGGTCGGATCCCCCTCCTTCTCTCTTCCCTCTCCTGGCCTAGCCTGGAGCTCAGGCTGGTGAGGGGCCATGGTGAGCTGGTCTGCAAACTCCTCTTCGGGGAGACAGCTCTGGGCAGCATTCAGTGGCATTGCCCACCTCCTACCCTGGCAGCATCAAGTGCTGGTGGCTGCAGCCAGGTGCCTGACACCCCCGGTGGAAGGGACTTGTGTGGCTGGATTCCCCCCTACCCTCACCCCAGGGTGTGGTGGGTGTGCACCTCACCCAAGGCTCAAGCCCTGGGCATGATACTATAAGGGTCCCCTTCTGCACATCTACCTCTGGCCTGGCCCACCTCCCTTGCCCTGAGAATAGGAAGGGCGGCTTGAGGGGCCTGACACTTCACACACAAATAAGGATGCACTTTATTTGCTTGTGCAGAGGCAGATGAGGGTGCTTCCTGGTGTGACCTTTGGCCCTTCTTGGCATAGTCCTCCCTGTCCTGCACCTGGACAGTTCTGGTGGGAAGAGCAGGTGTCAGCTCCTCTGTGGAGCCAGACGCGGAGGACGTGTGACCCACCTGGTGGGCACCGGAGGCCTGGGGTTCAGAGGGCCACCAGTCATGCCTCCAGTGTGGAGGCCACATGTTCTATGCTTTGGGTTCTTGGTTTGGGTTTTTTTAGCGCCAGTTCTCAGTACATTAAGTGCATTTCAAAGGAGAGGTCCCACTATCACTTGTAACCATATATATGCATATATATTCTATCTACAAAGTGTTTATTTGCAAGATGTTTTGACAGTGAGCTTGGGCGCTGCCCGCCTTGTGACCATCTGTCCTTGGTCCGTGTCCCCCGCCCTGCGCCCTGACTCCTCAGTGGAGTGGGAGTGGGCCATCAACTGTATTAAAAATGACTGTATCAAATAAATGTTTATTGATTTTTTTGCAGGGATTTTGTGCGCCTGAATTTGTGGTAAATGCAGGGAGTGGGGGAGCGAGGTCCTTCCGCAGTGCTGAGGCCGTCCAGCCGCAGGGCGCCCACCCCAGGTCCTGCACGTGGCGGGGCGCCCACTACGAGACCCCGCAAGCCGTGCCGCGCAGCCTTGAGGGACTTGTAGTCCGTGCGGCGCGCGGCCTCGAACTACAGCTCCCAGAGGCCTGTGCGCGCGGCCCCCCGAGCGCGGTCGGGCCTGCGGCTGCTGCGAGACCCCAGCTTCATGGCTGCGCCCCCGGCCTCCGCGCCCTCGCACCTCCCGCCCACTGCGGCCCGAGACCCACCCGACCCGCCGGGGGAGAAGAGCGAGGACCGGTAGGCGGGGCGCACCCGAGGGAGGCCGGGGGCCGCGCACGCCCCTCCGGTCCTTTGCACAGCGGGAACGGGAAGAAGGGGCGGGGGAGACCCACGTGAGCTGGAGCGCCCGCCTCGCGTGACGTGGCCCCAGGCTCCCTCCCGTTCCGAGGGGCTCTGGCGCCGGTGGCGAGGTGAGGAGGGCTTCTTTCGTGTGCAGTGCGGTCGCGCACACGCACACGCACGCGGCAGGCAGTGCAAAGACTGGGATCGAGGCCGTGCTGGACCTGGTTCTAAGTGCAAGTGGGCCTCCGCAGGCTCTGGGGGCCCACCCGAGGGAAAGGCTGAGTGCGTGGCCAAGGCCAGCATCCTGCTCCCAGATGAGGAGCAGAGAGGCGGCTGCAGGCTGTGACCTGTGCAGGCCCGGGCCCTCAGGTGTCTGCAGAGGCTCAGCGCCCCAACACCCACCCCACCCTGACCTTGGGTTCTGTCCTGAATGTATGGGGTACCTGGCGGATTGCTTAGGTCAGGACTGGCCCTGTGTTTCTGGGGACAGTGTTGTGCCCAATACTTTGTAACCGCCCCACCTGGTGTGGGGCTTCCTCCAGGCTCTGTGGGTCCTGGCGAGACTGTGAAGAAAGGGGAGTTGTGGGGTGCGGGAGTCGAGCGGGGGAAGGGGGGCGTCTGACCCGGTAGTCACCAGTGCCTCACCGACAAGGAAATGTATGAGAAACGGCCTGAGCAAGGGCCTGGGCTGGGGCCTACGGACCTTGGCCACCAGGGGGCGGAGGCTGACCGTGTGGGGGTCAGCACAGATACCCGGGCCTGTCTCCTTGCTTCCCGGTCTGCAAACCGTCCCCTGGGGGGTGCAGGAAAAGAAACCCACCCTGTTCCATTACCTCTGCCCCAGGCCACAGTGCTGATTGCCTGGCCTGCAGGGTCCTGGGGGTGCTGTGAGGAGTGGCCACATTGACTGGGAGACTTGGCCAGGCACCTGCTGGCCACGCTGCTTGAAGGGAGCCTTTCCCCCGGCCCAAGAGAGCATACCCCCAGGTCAGGGCCCTGCTCCTGGTAGGCGGCGGAGGATGGCTTAGATCCGACAGGAAGTGAGCCTGTGGCCTGGCTGGTTCCAAAGGTCTTTATTTCGTCTGAGATTGAGCCGTGAGGGCTGGACAGGCGCTGTAACCTAGGTCTCTGCAGCCCCTGGGGCTTGCCCTGAGCACACCCGGCCTTCCCCCTCCCTGGGAAGGACCTGGAGGCAGCCGGTTTTCAGCAGAGACCTAGACCACAGCACTCTTCCTGCAAAGGCGCCTCCTGGCTTGGATTTCTTGCACTTTTTCCTGTGTTCCACTGGCCAGTCCCTGCACTGCTGGCCCTCTGCCAGAGCTCCTCCTGCATCACTGAGTGGCCTTGCTGGCCACCACACACCGCATCCGCTCCAGTCTTCCTGGCTGCCAGCTGCGGTGTGACCTGTCCCTCTTACCCGTTACTTACTGGGGGCCTGCCCCTCAGCTTGTCAGCATGAGAATGTGTCCTGGCCAGCCCTGCCCACGCTCCTGCCGGGGCCTCCATGTCCCTGGGTTTGCTGACGAGCTTCCTGGGTGGGTGCAGTGGACAGCAGACGTGACCCCCCGCCAGGGCATGGTGGAAGAGGCCTGCTAGGGTGATGTGGGTCTTAGGGACCCACGCATCCCTGCACTGTTTTAGCATCTCTGTGACCCCCTTTTGTGGGGGCAGCTGCCCCTAAGCCAGTGCCAGACCCCATGGGGGCAGCTCCCCACTCCTCCCTGTTCTTGTTCTTAACTCAGTAAGTGGTAAGGTGCTGTCCCAAGTGGAGGTCTGGGTACAGCATGGGGAGCAAGCCACCAGACAGACGTGACTTGAACCTTCCCTGAGTGTCATGAACTTATCTTAGGTAATTAGGCATACGTGCAGCCTTGGTTTTTGTGGGTTCTTTTCACTTCCGCCCTGCGTCCCGCTGTCCTGCGCATTCCTGCCTGACGTTGGTTTTGGATGCACACACAACACTGAGCATCCCTTGCCTCTACCGTCAGCCACTCTGCTGAGTTCAGAGCCTGCATATCTGTGTACAACCCCGCCACTTCCTTAAGACCCTTGCTCACGGAGCCCTTTTTGCATGCAAAGCTCGTTAGTACAACGTGCGTTTGCACCTGCCAACCCAGCATGCTGGTGGGGAGACTGAGGCAGGCGTGCGGTGGTTCGGCGCTGGCAGCAGAGGGGAGTTGAGTCAGACAGGCACATGGCAAGGCGTGAGGCTGAAGTGCTTGTGCTGCCCCAGCATCGACGGTTCTACACCTGAGATGGGAGACCTTCCCATGACAGGGCAGGCGGGTGACCCTGGGGTTCTCCAAACACCTGCCTGTCCCAGCCCTAGTGGTCAGAGCGGGTGCTCTCAGCATTTCCTGGCACATCTTGGGTTGAGAAGTGCTGGTTTGTGGGGCCAGCTCCCTGAAGCCTGGAGGCAAGCATCAGGGGGCCCTGCAGGGATATCTGGCACCTGCCTCTCTCCCAGCCTCAGTCTGGTCACCTGAGCCCCTGGTGCCTGCTGGCCTTACCTGTCTGCTCTCTGCTGCCCACGCAGCCCCAGCTGGCACACCAGTCACTGGGAGCCCTGCTCCACACCCCTGTGCCCAGGACAGGGGCAGATGACCCAACCACCCCAGATCAGCACCCACAAGGAGATGCTGTGGGTGCTACTGGGGGGCTGGATTAGTGCCAGGTGCCCCCAGAGGGCAAGCAGACTTACCAACAGTTACCTAGATGAGTGTGAACCCCTCAGGTGTGTAAACCCTCCCCCCCAGATGTGTGAATTCACATGTGTGAGCCCCTTTCAGGTGAATTAATCCACTTCAAGTGTGTTAACCATTCCCTCCCCCCCAACTGAGTGAACCCCTATCAGATGTGAGAACCCCCTGTGGATGTGTGAACCCACTCAGGTGTCTGAATCCACCTCAGGTGTGTGACCCTCCCCATGGGTGTGTGAACCCAGTGCAAATGTATGAACTCCCTTTAAGTGTGTGAACCCTTTAGGTATGTGGGTCCCCCATGGTGTGTAAACCCCTGTCAAGTGTGTGAACTCCTCCTCAGGTATGTTAGCCCCTCTTAGGTGTGTGTGAAGCTGCCTCAAGTGTGTGAACCCCACTCAGGTGTATGACTTCACTTCAGATATGCGAACCCTCTGTCCCCACTGCAGAAGTGTGAACCCTCGTGTGTAAACCCTGCTCAGATGTGTGAACCCTCTTTAGGTGTGTGAACCCCATTTAGGTGTATGACCCTTCTGTCGGTATGTGGACCCCCCTCAGGTGTGTGGATCCCCCTCAGGCGTGTGGCCCCCACGCAGTCTTCTCTCCTTGAACCCTGTCACCGCTCACAGGGATGCCCCGCAAGGAGGCTGAGAAGGGATGGCAGGCAGCTGGTGCAGATGGGGGGCCTGGCCGAGGGGATGGGCCTATTGGCTTATCGTGCAAATCCCTTTAAAGCCTCAGCTGGCCTGCCTTTGCCAAGAGGCCCAGCCATCCCACGGGGCTGAGCTGGGAGGCGGCAGAGGGCGGTGCTGGGGCCCTCCGGGAGCAGGGCAGGGCAGTTATTCTTAGATGCTGCCTTGGGTCTGGTTTCAGGTTTGTTTGTGCTGGAGGAGGCACCTTGGAGGGCCGGGCCGGGCCGGCGGCTCTGCCACTGGCCCAGGTGGCCACTCAGGTTCTGTAGCTTCAGGCAGGTGAGGCTCTAGCAGGCGGTTGCTGTGCAGGGGAGCACTGTTAATACCTGTGCTCCTGGTGGTCCTCTTAGGCTACGCCCTTGGGCCCCTAAGCAGGGTCCCCCATGCAAGATAGAGCAGGTGGCCAGAGCTTGGAAGTGCTCTGGGGATCCCTGGCAGACGCTCCGTGGTGCCCAGGACACACTTGCCGGCACCCGTGCCATGAGCACAGCCCTTCCGGAGCCCTCATACCTGACGCCCCTGCCTGCTTGGCGCCGACCCATCTCCTTGGCCATGAGCAGCCCCCCAGCTTACCCCGGCATCAGGATCTCGGGGTGCTGGGCCCTTGGAGCGGAGGGCAGGTGAGTCTCGCCCTGCAGCTGTGCCAGCAGCTGTCCTGGCATGGCCTTGTTGCATGTTCGTGGATGTCAGGAACCAGACAGGCCTGGCCTCGGGAGCTTGGTTTGTTCAGCTTCTTGCCCACGGTCCTTTGGGTTGACATTAGTGATTCTGTGGCCGGAAGCATGCTTCTGTTGGAGGGCAGCCCTCCCATCTTGAGAGGATGCCCTGGGAGGTGTGGCTCTGCAGAGAACGGGCCCCAAGCAGGCGGGAGCGAAGGCTTGGCTGCAGGCGTCACTGACGCTGTCCGGCTCCAGTGCAGGTGGGCCTGCTTCCCACACTGCTTTCTTGAGGGGAGCCTTGTGCAGCATAGACCTGGGGGGACCTCAGCCTGGGACCTGCGCAGTGGTCCTGATCATCTCAGCAGGACAGAGCCACAGCCAGGAGGGTGGACATACCTCCTGGGACATCCAAGCGTCAGCAGGTCCAGGGCTCTGAAGACACAGCTCAGTGCTGGGCTCACCTGGCTCCAGGCCGCAAGCACCACTGGAGCACGTGATCACTTGGCCCGCAGGGCATTGGGAGCTGTGGCCCTGGAGCGGCTCTGCCCCTCCGCCCATCAGTTTTTGTGTCTTGGCGTTTCCTCCCTGAGGTGAAGGGTACGGGTTGAGGGGAACAGCCAGTTCCCTGTGGACAGTGAAGTTGGGCACAGACTTGGAGGGAGGCTGCTTAGGCTTGTCTCCATGCTGTACAGGGTAATTCCCACATCTGACCTGAGGGGTCTCTCCACTCCTAGCAGCTGTGAGTCAGCTGGTCATCTCCCAGAATGGTGGCACAGCCGTGCCAGCTGTCAGCTCTGGGCAGAACACACTGGCTAATTGGTGTCCCAGGGCCTCTGCAGTGACACTGAGCACAGTTAACTGGCTCCTGCCTCATGCTCTCGTCTGAGGACAGGCGGGTGCTTCCTCACCAGCAGAGGTGGAAGGCTGCACTCTTTCCTCTGTCTTCTCCCTAACACACGGGCACAGAGACACTGTGACCCTGTAGATACAGCTCATGGTACACACAGCAGAAAGGAACACTCCTGAGGCTGCGGTGGGGTCGTCTTTGATGCCAGAAACCCAGGCAGGGAAGCGTCCCCATTCCCGGTGCTGTGGTGCCAGGGTGGGCCTGGTAGTCATCAGGCGTGTCTGCCTCACGGCTTTTCTGTGCACATGTGTACACACACATCCTCACGTTTTCACAGACATGCATGGAAACATGTCATACACATGCCCACACGTTCTCACAAATACAGGAATACATGTGCACATACGTTCTCCCATCTCACGTCCTCATAGTCTCTGAACACGTTCTCACATGCTCACGTGCAAACCCAACCAAACCAAACTCACTGCCATCGAGTCGGTTCCAATCATAGCAGCCCCCACGGGCTTTCTGAGTCTGTCCTCTTCACAAAAGTACATCATCCTGTCTTCCTTTTGTGGAGCAGCTGGTGGGTTCGAACCACTGCACCTTCTGGTTAGCAGCCAGATGCTTTATCCACTGCGCCACCAGAGCTCCCCTGTTCTCAGTGCACACGTGCAGCCATGCCACACGTGTTCTCTCATGCATGTTTTCTCACAAACATGCATGCACATATTCTCACATGCATGCCCTCATGTCTTGTGCAAACACATGTACACACATTCTCTCATTCTCACACATGCATGCGCACATTTTCATGCATACGTGTGCACGTTCTCACATACACAGTGTAGTTTTGCACAAGCACTGAAAGTCTCACACATGTTCTCTCAGGCATGCATATTACGAGATGCACACACTTCCTCTCATGCACACATGTTCCGTGTTCTCTCACCTGTGCACACTTTCCTGCATACATACATGCACAGACATGTTCTCTATGCACATTCTCATGCATTCTTACACAGCCCACGTTCTCACACATGTATACATTCCTCACATATGTTCTCTTACATGAACGCACATGTGTGTCCTCTCCAGCACACACACTCGTGCATACACGTTGCACACAGATAGATGCATGTGGCCAGCTGCCTGCTGGTTTTTACAGGAACCAGACACATCTTCACAGTTAGCTCTTCTCACTTGTCTTCACTTCTGAGGGCTACTGTAGCAAACTATTTCCAAGTAGTGGCCTTTGAAGAACACAGAGATGTCCCCTCACGGTTCTGGAGGCCAGGAATGGGAAGTCGGCACTGTCTGGGTGGGTCCCTTACGTCTTCTGCCAGCTTCTGGTGGCTGTTGGTCCTTGGGGCCCTTTGCTGCTGTAGCTGCACCTTCACGCGACATCCTCCCCATGTCTCTGCGTCTGCACGTGATGTCCTCCCCGTGTATTTCTGTGTGCACATGGCATCTTCTCCATGTGTCTTTCTGTGATATCCTCCCTGTGTGCATGCGTGGTACCCTCCCCACACGTGGCACCCTCCCCACATGTGTCCCTGCATCCATGTGTGGCATTCTCCATGCGTCTGTGTCCATATGTGACACCCCCTCCACGTCTCTGTGTCTGTTCATGGTGTGTTTCTGTGACACCCTCCCCACGTGTCTCCCTGCATCTGTGCGGAGTCCTCCCTGCATGTCTCCCCATGTGTCTCTGACATCCCGTGTGTCTCCCCACCCGTCTCAGTGATATCCCCCCTGCGTGTCTCTGTGACATCCCCCATGTGTCTCCCCACGTGTCTGTGACATCCCTCGTGTGTCTCTCCGTGCATCTGTGACACTCCCCATGTCTCCCCGTGCATCTCTGTGACACCCTCCCGTGTGTCTTCTTGCATCGTGTCCTCCCCGCATGTCTCTACATGACATTCTCCCCGCGTCTCCCTGCATGTCTCTGTGACACCCTCCTTAGGTGTCTCCCTGCACCCATGTGTGGAGTTCTCCCCACGTCTCTCTGACATCCTCCCCATGGCTCTCTGATGTCCTCCGTGTGTGTCTGTGACATCCTCCCCGCGTCTCCCTGCATCCACGGGTAGAGTCCTCCCTGTGTGTCTCTCTGTGTCTGTTCTCTGCTTGTATAACACAGCACTTGGAAGGTATCAGGGCCCACCCTACTCCACTGTGATCTTGCCGACTTAACTGGTGACAAAAAAAAAAGCCCTATTTCCAAGTAAGGTTGCGTTCACCGGAGCAAGAGTTAGGACTTGAACATCTTGTGGGAACACAACTCAACCCATGATGTCATCCGTGTCTCGAGGACACCTTTCCGTGTGGGTCCTACGGTCCCCCTGTCCACCCTCGGCAGCGTATCCTCCACCTGGTCCCAGCCATAGCCCTCTGGGCAGGGAGGACACATCACGCTGTAGACACGTCCTCACAACCTCACGAGGTGCTTCCACAGCACGACCTCACCTGTATGTGGGCCTCGGAACCTCTCCTGTAACATGTGGGATGTGCTTGGCAGTCCTGGTGTGTGGGCGGCTCCCATGTGTCACAGCTCCTGGGCCACTGCCCACAGCCTCATCTCACTTACCTAGCAGCATCTCCACGTGGCAGCTCAGGTGCCCCATGTCCCTTATGGCACCTCACCCTGTGTCCCCTAGGCATTGGCCCTGCAGCATGGGAAGGGGTTGACAAAAGTGTCATGGGAGGTACTGCTCTTTGGTGCCTCGGTGGTTCCTCAGGCGTCTACTTCCCACCTCCCACAGCCCCAGTCGTGGGATGCCCCCTATGCTTGCCTGTGGATGGAGTGGGGGCCCTGGGTGGCTGGGAGCCTGCCTCTGAGCCCCGTGCTCCCCCAACAGCAGTGGTGCTGAGTCCCTGGACAGGCTCCTCCCACCCGTGGGCACCGGGCGCTCACCCCGGAAGCGCACGACAAGCCACTGCAAGTCAGAGCCGCCCCTACTGCGGACCAGCAAGCGGACCATCTACACAGCAGGGCGGCCCCCCTGGTACAATGAACATGGCACACAGTCCAAGGAGGCCTTTGTCATCGGTGAGGCACACCCCTGCTACGGGCACCCCTCAGACACTGGCAGGAGCCATTCCACACAGCCCATGTGGACTCTGCCTCTTTGTCTCCTGCAGGTCTGGGTGGCGGCAGTGCCTCTGGGAAGACCACGGTGGCCAGAATGATCATCGAGGCCTTGGATGTCCCTTGGGTGGTCCTGCTGTCCATGGACTCCTTCTATAAGGTGAGCCCCTTGGCCCTGCCCCCAGCGTCCCTGCAGAGTGCATGCTGCCAGCTCTGCACAGTCACCCCTGGAGGCCAGGGCCACCTGCCCACAGGGCCAGTGAACCAGCATCCGCCCTTCACAGGTGCTGACCAGGCAGCAGCAGGAGCAGGCCGCCCGCAACAACTTCAACTTCGACCACCCCGATGCCTTCGACTTTGACCTCATCATCTCCACCCTGAAGAAGCTGAAACAGGGCAAGAGCGTCAAAGTGCCCATCTACGACTTCACCACCCACAGCCGCAAGAAGGACTGGGTGGGTCAGCGGCTCATGAGCCGGGTGGGCATGGGCACCTCAGACCCGCAAAGCCGTGGCATGGCCGGGCAGAGGACAACCACATGGCTCCTTTCCAGAAGATGCTGTATGGCGCCAATGTCATCATCTTCGAGGGCATCATGGCCTTTGCAGACAAGACACTGTTGGAGGTGAGGCACAGGGCATGGGGTGAGCCTGAGCTCACCACCTGGGTTTTCTGCTTCCTGGCACCCCCTTCTCTGGCCTGCCTGTCCCTGTGTGGGTACTCAGTGGACCCTGCTTCACCCCCACTGTGAGCTCCGGGAGGCCAGGCATGCCTTGTGGATAGGGTGGGATGCAAGGGGGAGTGGGGTGGGGGCTGGTGTGCTCTGTGGGTGGGGTGAGCTGTGAGGGGCAGGGCTGCTGGGGGGGGTGGGCATGCTCTGCAGGCAGCTCCCTCAGAGAAACGGACAGCCTCAGGAGGGAGGCTGGGACCTGTGCCGCTGGTCCCCTCCAGCTCTTCTTAGGGACGCCTGCTGCGTGCTGGGCGCAGGCGGTGGGGGCTCAGTGTGCTCAGTGTGGGGACAGGTCAGGCTCTGAGCAGGAGGAGGGTGCTGGGGCCCTGGGGTGCTGCTCAGCCCCCAAGTCTCCTCACAGCACTCCCCGTCCCCTTCCTGTGGGGCACTGCCGGGTCCTGGTGCTCTCCGCAGCTCTCACGCAGCGCCTCCTCGATGTTTCCCCAGCTCCTGGACATGAAGATCTTCGTGGACACAGACTCTGACATCCGCCTGGTGCGGCGTCTGCGGCGTGACATCAGTGAGCGGGGCCGGGACATCGAGGGCGTCATCAAACAGTACAACAAGTTTGTGAAGCCCGCCTTCGACCAGTACATCCAACCCACCATGCGTTTAGCTGACATCGTGGTACCCAGAGGTGAGCTGGCTGTGGCCACAGGGGATGGGGACAGCAGGCCTGCATTGCTCTACCACCAGGCCACCCTGCCCTATACCTCACTGCTCCCCACACAGCAGGCCCACACCGAGGCCCCTCACCCTGGGTCCCCCCCACCTCAGCCCCCCACCCTGGCCCAGCCAGGCTGCATCGCTGCCCTGCCCCCACCTCGTACCCCAGGCCCCCCTGCACAGCAGGCCAGCATGGCTGCTCTGCCCCCGCCCTGTACCCCAGCCCCCCGACAGCTGCCCCCCTGCCCCCCAGGAAGTGGGAACACGGTGGCCATTGACCTGATCGTGCAGCATGTGCACAGCCAGCTAGAGGAGGTGAGTGGGTGCCTGACCAACCCCCAACCCTCTGCTTGGCCCTGCTCTGCCTGGCCCTCAGTCCCAGCCCATGTGGCCTTGGGCATCCGAGGGGCCTGTCACCCTCTGTGCTGGGCCAAGGGGGGCTGGCTTCTTGAGAACGTGGAGGCCCAGCCAGTGCTGGGTGTGGATGGCTGGTTTCTACCACTCTCAGCTCAGCCATGGACAGGGGCATACTCGATCCCCCCCTAATCCTTTGGGGCAACAGGGTTGTCCACCATCCTGGGCTATTCTGTGGTGGCGCCTCAGAACCAGGCCCCAGCCCAGGTCATTGCCCTGCCCCTGGCTCTGGGTGCAGGCTGCCGGGGGCCCTGGCTCTGAGCACTCTCCAGCAGTCCCCCAGCCCTTCTGCCCAGCCCAGAGTCCCAGGTTTGGACCATCCCCTGGGCTGTGGGTGTCCATTCCCGGGGCAGGGGTAGCGGTGAGTGGGGGGCTGTGCTCCGCTGATGTGAGCTAAGCTAGCTCGGCCCTCGCTGACACGCCACCCCGTTCCCTTGTGTCTCTCGTGCTGCCGCCACAGCGTGAACTCAGTGTCAGGTAAGCCTCTCTCCCACACGGATCTCAGCAGGCAGTGCTTCCCACAGCCGGTGGAGCTGGGGCAGGGCTGTCCCCCCAGGAAGGGGTGCCTCTGCCCGCCCTCACGGCCCCCAAGAAACTGGCCCAGAGGCGAGCACCAAGCCTAATCCTGGGCTGAGCTGGACCCTACTGCAGGATAGGCGTGCAGCTGGGGGACGGCCCAGAGCAGAGGTGGCTGTGGGCAGGAAGGGAGGCCATGTCCTGGGCCTGCCACCCACACACTCACACGCAGACTGCGGTCGGCACTCGCTACACACGGGATACTTCGCTGCCCCCACCTGCTTCCTGTTGCCAAATGCACCTCTGTGTGGCGTCCACCTTGACCAGGTCGCCACAGACCTTGTCACCTCGGCTCCATTGAAGCCTTTGTTCTGAGAAAAAGTTTCCAGTGTTTACACTTGAGACAACGTCTGAGGGCAGCCACCTACGTTTTCCATCCTCTGGTCAGACCCAGGGAGTGGGCTGGGGCCACATCACCGCTGCTCACAGAAAGCCAGGGCTCTGAGCGTCCCCACTGCGCCGCCCACAGGCCCTCACTGAGAGGCCGTCTCTGTTCTCTTCCTTGGTCTGTGCCCCGTGCCTCCTGCCCGCTCCCTCCCTGACTGTCACCTTACGGCTGAGCAGAGGAAGCTGCGCTGGGATATGTGAGGACAGTGTGCTCTGGCCTTGGGTGCCGCCTGCCTGCCGCGTGTGTGGCAGCCCTGCACCCGCATGCCCCCCTGCCCTGTGCCTGCCCCCCTCCTTCTGCACTGGCCAGTAGCCACCCACCTGGCCTTATGGTTCCTGGAGGTAGCCCTGGACTTGAGGGAAGGCCAGCCATGCTGGTCAGCAGACAACCTCCTCCAGGCCCCAGGCTGGGCCCCAGGATGCCCTGGGAGGTGGCCTGCCCATTCTCAGGACAGAGGCCCGTGGCCCGTGGGTCTTCTCTCTGTACCTGTGGGCCCTGCTCTCTGGCCTCACCCTGCTGCTTCCTCTGAGGTCAGGGGTCCTGGGCTGGCCCCTCTGCTTCCTGCCTGGTGGTCAGCCACTCTGCTCTGGGCCCCAGTGCTTTTATTTGTGCCCGTGGGGTGTGGTCCAGGGGGCCCCACCTTGCACACCACCTCCGACCGGGCCTACTGCCCACAAGCCCCAGTTAGACACGCATACACGCTGTGGGGGAGGGAGGGGCTCTGGGAGGACGCACCTGAGTGTCCTCGATGGGTCATTTGTGTCCCCAGGGCCGCACTGGCCTCTGCACACCAGTGCCACCCCCTGCCACAGACACTGAGCGTTCTTAAGAACACGCCGCAGGTACGGGGCATGCACACCATCATCAGGTGAGGGCCTACCTGCAGGCAGGCGGGCAGGCGGGCAGGCGGGCACACCGGCAGCAGCCCTGCTGAGGCGCCTGCCCCTGCAGGGACAAGGAGACCAGTCGTGATGAGTTCATCTTCTATTCCAAGCGCTTGATGCGGCTGCTCATAGAACATGCCCTGTCCTTCCTGCCCTTCCAGGTGCGTGCAGGGGAGGGGGCTGCACCCTGTCCTTCCTGCCCTTCCAGGTGCGTGCAGGGGAGGGGGCTCTCTTGCTGACGTGTGCCCTGGCCCTCCACTGTGCATGTAGGACTGTGTGGTGCAGACCCCACAGGGCCAGGACTACTCGGGCAAGTGCTACGCTGGGAAGCAGGTATGAGCTTTGGTGGTGGGGGTGGCAGCAGGCCAGCCCAGCCCCCATGCCCCCCATCACCAGTTCGTCCCCACCCCGGCCCCCCTCCCCCCAGATCACCGGTGTATCCATTCTGCGAGCGGGTGAGACCATGGAGCCAGCACTCCGGGCCGTGTGCAAAGACGTGCGCATTGGCACGATCCTCATCCAGACCAACCAACTCACCGGGGAGCCTGAGGTGGGAGGCCAAGGGGGACAGGGCAGCCCAAGCGGGGGTGGGAGCTGGAGTGGGGGATGGGGTGGGGAGGCCAGGGTGCCGACCCTGCCCACCCGACACTCCAGCTGCACTACCTGCGGCTGCCGAAGGACATCAGCGATGACCATGTGATCCTCATGGACTGCACCGTGTCCACGGGCGCCGCTGCCATGATGGCGGTGCGCGTGCTGCTGGTGAGTGAGTGGGTGGGGGTGGGCCAGCGGCCCGGGGTGGGGCTCACCGGCCCTGTCCCCAGGACCACGATGTGCCAGAGGACAAGATCTTCCTGCTGTCGCTGCTCATGGCCGAGATGGGTGTGCACTCTGTGGCCTACGCGTTCCCACGCGTTAAAATCATCACCACAGCAGTGGACAAGCGTGTCAATGACCTTTTCCGCATCATCCCCGGCATCGGTGAGGCCACAGATAGCCTTACGCAGTCCTAGGGTGGGGAGTGCCTATGGATGGTCCACCCACAGCCTGCTGCTTCCTCCAGGGAACTTTGGCGACCGATACTTTGGGACAGACGCAGTCCCCGAAGGCAGTGATGAGGAGGAAGTGGCCTCCACGAGTTAGGGGCCTGGGCTGCACCCTCCTCCAGGACCTATTTCCACCCTGTCCCCATCCTGCTTCCTGGTCCAAGCAAGACCCTCAGATGTTAACTTACTTTAATAATAAAGACTCATCTGTGATGGAACTTAGCCTCCAGCTGTGTAAGATGAACAGTTTTAGGAGCTCAGTGGCCTGGGGCAGGAGTGGTGTTCAGGCTAGATAGAGTCTCCATGGGAGGGAGGCCTGGGCACGCCTGGTCTTGACTGGGCTTCCCTGTGGTCCAGGGCTTGACACCTTACAACCTGACCTGTCTGATGGATGCCAGACCTGGATGTGGGGAGGGGGTGGGCCATCAAGACACGGGGCCAGAACCCGTCACCAGGGGCCACGTGGGCAGCTGCTGGTGGCAGTGACTTGCCACCTGGGCTGTAGTGGCAGAAACCCGAGCCAGGGCAGATGGCCAGGGCCTCAGCCATCTTGGACTCCAGGGTGAGGGCACCATGACAGTCTCCCTGGACCAGCCTACACACATGCAGACCTGCACAGTGTGCCTGTGGACTCATTTCCCTGTGCCCCCGTGCAGTGGGAACATCTGTGGGCTGTGACCTCTGCACAGCTGTGTGTGGACTGGGACACTCGAGACAGTCCCCCCTCCTCCATTTCTCTAGGCCTGGCCCTAGCCCCTTCCTGCCTGTCCTGGCCTTCCTGGGTGCTTCCCCACCCCACAAAGGCCATGTCATGGAAATGCCTGTGTGTCGTGGGGCGGAGACAGGAAGTCGCTGGGTGGAGGCCGGGTCAAATGGGGCAGATAAAGGCGGGAGGCCTGTCCAAGGGGAGGACAAGCACCCAAGACAGAGATGGCCACCATGGGGGCACGTAGGTGAGCAGGAGGAACATCTCCTCCCGTGCCGGTGAGTGGACCCTCTCCTGTGTCCCAGGCCCCTTCCTTTCCCCTTTCCTTCCCTGAAACCTTCCCTCTTAGGGTGCCACGTGCTGAAGCAGGCAAGGCCTCTGCCCCGTGGACTCCTGGGCTGGTTTGAGGAGGCTAGGAGGGTGGGGGTATGAGGGGTGTACAAGGCCTGCAACAAGCCCTTGTTATCTTGGGGTCACAGGTTCTGGGGCCCTGGGGGAGCCTGACTTTCCCAGATGAGAAATAAGGGTCCAATACTGCTGGTTCCTGAGAACAGATCAGACCCATGCGCATGTGCACACATACATACACACATACACCCAACACCTCCACCTGTAACATGTCTGGACATGGGCACATCCCCATGGCAACATGAACCTAAGGAGAGGGTCCATTGCCCCACTCTACTTAGTCAGCAGCACCTGCAGGGGTTCCCTGGTCAGAGGGAGACCTGGGGCCTGGTAATGCTTGGTGCACTGGGGGTTCACAGGCCCGCTTCCTGCCAGGGCCTTGCGGCCTGTTGGAAGTGGGCCACCTCCCAAATAGCTCCAGGGGAGGGCTTCAGCCCTTCAGGAAAGCCTGCTGGGGAATGGATGAGCACCACCTCCCATCCCAGGAAGAAACCAGGATCCAAGGTCTAAGACTTACCTGGGACCAAGCCCTCCACACAGCTGCCAGATACCCTGGGAAGAGAAGAGGCACCCTTTATAGGGTGTGGGTGCAGAAGGGACCCCAGGAAGGGCAGACTGGGGGCTGGAACACCTGTTCCTTGGGACTCCATGGGGCTGGGGGTGTTTCTGTTGGTGCATGGTCTAGGGAAGGAGAGGGGCTGGGACGCAGTCCTGACCCATCCACACATGTCCAGAATGCTGTTGACACTCACCCTCGGGGAAGAGTCTTCAGGAGAGGCTGCCAGCTGTGGGCTCTGGGCAGCGCCTCCAGGACTGTCCCACCTGAGAATGTGAGACTCCAGGGTCACTCTCAGGTTTGTCAGCCCGAGAGGTGCCGCCTTCCTCGACAATGGCCATGCTGTGATGGGGCCACGCAGGTCCCCCATGAGGTCGTCACACTGACGTGTGTGGGATAACAAGTGCCCACGACACCTGCTCCAGGCAGTAGGGACAGGGAGGGCCGAGGAGGAGGGAAGGGACCTGGTCCAGGAAGGACTTTTCACCTGGTCTACTGACCTCAGTCAGCACCTCAGGTCTTCCAGAACAAGTCCTGGAGAAAGAACCTTCTAGAAAAGGACCTATAGGAACAAACTCGCAGAGAAGGCACCCAGAAGACCCTGGGGCTTTGGGGGTGGTGGTGATTTGCAGGGTCTCGAAGGTAAACCTGAAGAGCCATGGAAGGTTCGAGGGTCGTGGGTGGAGGTGGGGAGAGCAACGGTGGCACCAGGGTCGAGGTGGGAAGGCACCACCAGATGGCAGGGACTGCGTGGTTTTGGTATGTGCTTGGATTGACCCGGGATGGGACCAGGGAGGGCACAGGCCTGGGAGCAACAGGGACTTCAGCAGTGACGTTGTGAGGGATGGTTCATCCAGGTCAGGACCCCTCACCACAGCTAGTCCCCACCAGCTCCCAGTTGAGGGACAAGGTATGATGTGACTCTTCTCTGTCCCACAGAGCAATGCTCCCCAGTCTGGGTGCCACATGGCCAACGTGGCAGCCTGGGATCTCCAGCCCCAGACCCTCAGTCATGGCTGTCTGGAGGGTTCGCTGAGATCGAAATCCTAGGGACCTTGGGAAGAGAGGGTGTCGACCAAGGATCCCTCTAGCAACCGGGAGGAGGCAGGTGCTGGGGCTCTAGAGCGGGCAGAGAGGTCCCGATGCGTCACAGACCAGACGCTGCTCCCCGCCTGGCAGGTGACAGCAGCCAGGGTGCTCATCCCTCCAGGCCTCCTGGCCACACGGCCACCCAGTCCTGAGTCCTGCCCAGACTCTTCCCAGAGCCCGGCTTCCTCAAGGCCTTCCAGGTGCATGACGAACCCCCGCCCTGGTTTTACTGAGCAATGGGCAGCCCCCTCACGGACCTGGTGCCAGGTCCCCGGCGGAACGCCCAGCGGCCACTGGCCCTGGCCTCCGCCGTGGAGACCCACATCGGTGACGGCGTCGTCCTCCCCTCCAGCTTCAGGAACACAACGCTTCAAACGGGGACGCTGGAGGCACAGTCCGCGAGGTGCGCGGGCTGGGGCACCTGCCGCGCGGGACCCTGGACAGGGAAGGTTCCCGGCAGCTCTTCCCAGTCCCAGCCTACGGCGCCGAGAGCCCCGCGACAGCCCGGACCCAGCTCCGGGCAGCCTTGTCCTCCTGCGCTGCGAGGACGTGTCAGGGCTCCGGCTGCCGCGGATCCGGACTCCCTCGCACGAAGCCCAGCGCGGAGCGCGCTCCACCGCGAGGTCCGTGACGCCGCGCTCCACGTGCGGGGGCCACCGGAGGAAGGGGGACCTGCCCGCAGCCCGCGCAGAGGGGCCTCTGGGTGCGCCCAGCCACCGCCTGGTGCGCACTGTCGCGCGCCCGCTGTCACCAGCAGGGCGAGTGTCCCTAAGGCCTGCTGTGCCCCGGGACGCGCGGATTTCGGGCCAAGGGGCGGGGCTTCGGGAGGACCCGGCCCTCTGCGTAGGTCACGTCCCCCCGCTTGAGCCGGTCCCACCGGGTCCTTCCCCTTAGGACCTTCCCTGTATATCCTATCCCTGCGCTAGAGGCCCCGGCTCTGGTCGTGGCCACAAGGACTCCTCGACTGGGAGGAAGGGGGTGCCCGCAGACCCGGGGCGGTGCCCCCACACCCGAGGCTGTGACCCCGATCCACGGTGGTGCCCGCAGAGGCGCGGGTGCCCCTAGATACCGTCCAGCGAGTCTTCGTGTTACTTCCAATTTCTGCGAATTATGTCATTCCGCGTATTATAAAACACTCAAAGTAATGAAGCTCAGTAGGAAAATTGAGAAGACCAAATAAAGACAACAGTCTGACAGCTGGCAGGGAGGAGGGGTTCGCTGTCCACAAGCAGGAAACAAGGGACCCGGGGACGGGTGGGTGTTCAGAGCTCCCCAAGCTGCGAGCTCACTCCGGAGTCCGCGGCCCGGAGAGTTCGCGGGCGGCACGGCGGGCAGGAACCCACAAGCTCCGGAAGCGGGGCTGGAGGGAGGGTGGGGGCCGCGGGCGGGGCAGGGGCGCAGAGGGGAGGCCGACAAGCCAGGCCTTCGGCCCTGGGGGCAGCGGGAGGAGAGGGTGAGGGGTGTAGGGCAGGGGGCGCCGGCCAGGAACGGCGGGGGCGCGTGCTCAGCGGGACACCAGGGTCCCCCCCCCCACCCCGGCCTCGCTCGCGGCCTGGCCGTCCTGCGGCTGACCCCAGTACAGAATGGCGCCAGGGCCCGCGCTGCAGCCACCAGGACTGCGCAGTTACAGGGGGTGCTCCAAGTGGTTGGTTAGGACCAGTGGCAGAGAGGGACAAATGGGCCGTCCCCGCCTCAGGGACTTTTTCTTTACTTTTGATGGTGATTTTGGGGAAAGTTTACAGAGCAGATTCATTTTCAGCTCAGTTTACACATTCTGTTTCATGGCATTGATTGCTGGCCCCACCGTGTAACGGCTCTCTTTCTACCTCCTCCCTGTTTCCCACTTCCCTGGGTCCCTTCCTACCCTCTGAGCTGTCTCCCTGCTCACATGCTGCCCTTCTGATCTCTCAGGGAGGGCTCCTGGTGCAAATGTTCACTTTCCGATCTGCTGTGGTTTGGCCAGAAGCCAAGGGACTGAGTTCATTTCCAGGCCCAAAGGGTGAGAAAGGGTTGGGGGTTTCACAGTCCCTATCAGACCAGTAGGAGCTCTGGTAGCCTAGTGCCTAAGGCACTTGACTGCTAACCAGAGGACTCGTGGTTCAAGCCCACCAGCCACTCCTTGGAAGGAAGATGGGGCAATCTACTTCTATATTGATACTGCCTCGGAAACCCAAGGAGGGGTCGCTATGAGTTGGGTCCAACTCGATGGCTCATAACAACATCAGACCAGTGAGCATGGAATGTTTTGATTTTGAGTACTGTCTCACATTTCCCCCACTCTATCCAGAAGCTCAATTTTGACCCCTTTCAAGTGGTTCGCAGTGGTCTCAGGGTCATGTAGGCTGAGGCCCCCATGACCCACTAGTTCCTTGGACTCATTGTTTCCATGCGTCTTTGATTTTC